TGGACTGTTACGGCCGTGCGTAACGACGCATGGTCGGTATAAACGATGAAGGGCCTATCTCCTAAGAGATGTACCCGAAACTTAGCCAGTGCTTAATCCATGGCAAGGAGTTTCATTTCATGCACCGGGTAATTTCTCTCAGCTGCTTGCAGCTGACGCGATTGATAACAGACGACGCGCTTAACGCCGTCTGAGTCGTACTGCATTAACGCGCAGCCGATTGCAAAATCGCTGGCGTCACAGACCACATGAAATGATCTATCCTGGTCTACAATCGCCAACACAGTCGATTGTGTCAAGATTTACTTGATGCCTTCAAAAGAGTGCTGACAATCAGCACTCCATGACCACCTCTCGTTTTTCTATAACAGACGAGAGAGATGTACGGTCATCTCGGCATAGTTGCGCGAGTATTTTTGCAAGTACGCCGCCAATCCAAGGAACTTTCGAAGCCCCTTGACGTCGACTGGCACAGGCCAGTCGGTGATCGCCTCGATTTTTTTCCGGATCAGGGCGTACACCGTTTTTAATCACGATGCAGACAAGAAGTGATATTTAGTTCGCTGCGAATATACACTTCTTGAGTTCGAGAATAACTTATGCTCTCGCATTAGTGTAAGAACCTTCCGGACGTGGATTTCATGATCCTCCACGCCCGTCTTTCTATTCGTAGCTCGGCTATGGACGAAGACATCGTCGAAGTAACTCGGTGCGATATTGCGCACCGATCGCAACAGATTTGTAACAGATCTGTTGAACGTTGCAGGGGCGTGACTTAGCCCCTGTGGCAGCACGAGCCACTCCCTGAGCACACCACTGGATGAGCTGACTGCTGCGTACGGGATGTCCCGTTCACGCATGAGAATCAGATAGAATCCATGCATCAGATCCATGGACGAAAAGATGGTACTTCCTGCCATACCATCTATGATGACGTCTTTCCTTGGTATCGGTGTTTGAGCCGGTACCGTTGCAACGTTCAGTTTGTTGAACGCGTGCACTATCCGCCACCTTCCTGTGGCCTTTTGCACACAGAAGGTCGGAGAGCTGTGTGGGGATGATGAATCTCTCACATGACCAGCCGCTAAGCGGTCGGCAAAGAACTTGTCGATCGCTATGACCTGTTCACGAGGCTGTGGCCACTGCTTCATGACACAGTATTTCGAACCAGGTTTCAGTTCGATCTCATGCCGAGTGCCCTTGTCTTTGGGAAGCTCGCATGGCACGGATTCAGGGGAAAACATCCCTGAGTTCAACCAAATCCTTACACAAAGGATTTGTCTTCAAAGACTCCCAGGTTGAGACGTGTATGGCTCAATCCGAGTCTTTTCATCGAGGACACTCTCGTCCATCAATGAGCTACAGATAAACCGTTCGTTCTCAGCAAACACTTGTGCCGACCGAACATCGCCGACGTACTCTTCCTCTGTGACGAGTAAGCAGATCTGCTTGATCTTGTCACTACGAAGATCTCGCAAGAAATTTTTAAATTCTAGCGTTGGCAACTTGACTACCTCCGAAGCTGACTTCGGAGGTGTAACAGATCAAGTGTATAAGCGCCTACACTTGATCCGTCATTTACCAAGACATTTACTGTCTCGGTGATTTCCTGGTAAAACGCATCCGCAGGTGGTTGGGGATCCACACCCTCAACATAACTCCCTCGGGAGTTATCACTCTCAGGAACGCTAGATTTTTCTTCCATTACGTATGCTGACTGTGGGTGTACTACCACAGTCACTTCCTTTTCGATCGACTCTCTTTCAGTCAATCGGGCTTGCTCTACGATCGACTCTTTGTTATTCAATATCGCTTCAACGTGTTGTTCATCCTGAACATCACTAATCTCTCTCTCCTTGGATTCAACCTTCTTGGTGTGCATCCTTGTTCCAGTCCAATCGATCTCTTCGAGTGGTGAGCCTTCGGCGCAGCCTGTGTCTCTACACAGGCGCCGGAAGCTGGTTCCACAGTGCAGTTGCCTTCTACACTGTGATCTTGTGCAATCGTACTAACGACCGTACCACAAGTGAGACCATCGCAATCACTCGTAGTACATCCACACGCTTGCGGACGCTCCAAGATGTTCCTCCTATGGCCATCTGATGAACAAACGGCAGGCATCTTCACAGATCGATGCTGCCAGATAACCCATGGATGGTACTTTCTAAGCCATGGCAGACCGAGGATGGCATCAAATTTGTCATCCAAATCTAATACGATAAAGTCATCATCGTATGGTTTTCCTTCTAGCGTGTAGTGGATTCCCACTACACACTTTTTCACTGTTACGGATGCGCCTGTAGCAAGGCACACCGTCATACTCGTTGGAGGGAACTCTCGCTCAACATAGTTGAGCTTACTATCCTCCAGCGACTAGCGTCGATTAAAATTGTTCGACGCACCACAGTCAACTAAGGGCGCGAAGTGACATTCCACTTGTCACTTCGATCTTCAAAGTGATGAGAGACTCCTCATCACTAAGGGCAGTAACACACAGCGACTGTGTGTTAGAAGCAACCTTCGTCAAGAGTCCTACATGTTCCATTGACGTTGCTGGATCAGGAGGGTGATCCACCTCTACTGACCCTGTCCGTTTTTTGACGGTCCGACTTGCTGTCGCGGCTTAGCGACATGGCCGGACCCACGCCTCGGACCTTTCCTTGGACAACGGCGGTCATCACGTCCTGTCTTTGGACGTGTTGCGTTGCTTTGGACACTACACTCCTGAGCGTAGTGTCCAATATTCTGACAGCGATGGCATCTTGCCGGTCGCTTGTGACTCAGAGAGCGAGAGTTCTCGCTCTTGATATAACAGAGGTCCATTGGTTCGGGACCTCTTGTTTACTGTCGTCTCGTCGGACGATAGTTTGACGAGTTATCCTGAGCTGTCTCAGGCTGAAGTCTTCTTGTTCCGCATACGCTATCGCCCAGCGTGTGGAAGTCCTCTCGGAACACGTAGGTCTTCACCGGCCCATCTACGAGGCCGTAGATGAACACGTTGGTGATCGTTTGCTCATCAACAGGGTTTTTCGTAACGCTACTCGCAAGGTAGCGCAGGTGCTGTGCGTAAGCGTGCACGTCACGCTTACCTTGATGTTGCCTTATGAGTGCAGAGCGTGCTCTGCACTCGGCTATCGGAGGCTCAAATATCTCTTTAAGCCGAGACAATAGGATCTCCAATGACCCAAACACGTTCGGGTCGTGAAGCTTGAGCCCTAAGGCCTAAATCTTTGCTCGTCCCGTCAAATTTGACAGGGCGAAGATGACTTGCATCTCGTCACCCTCGATGTGACGGGCCCTTGTGGCGTAGTCTTACTTAACGAACCATCTCACGAGGGAATCTTCATCAGTTCCCTTGTACCTTGAGACATCAACCTTCAAGGTTTCGGGTCGACGCATGTGCGTCGGGCCACCCATCGACTGATGAGAGCCTTGCTGTTGCAGCAAGGCTATCTTCTGTCTTTCGACAGCAAGTTCCCCTTGTAGGAACTTGTTAGTAGCAGCATGTTGCTGGTCTCTGCTTAGAGACTCCAACATACCACTGATGGCGGGTTCGCCCATGAGCACATTCATGCGACCGACTACCTCCCATTCTGAGTCACTCAGATAAGAGTAGCCATCACTTGTTATGTGAAAGCTGTCGTTTTCTACGTCCAACATGTTCATGTTAGACGGACACTAAGTAGTCGTTGGACGGACTACAAAGTGCTACCAGGTGTAACGTGGCACCCTTTGTCTATGTGCCACGAAACTTCACCTACACTAGTACGTGCAGAGGAAGATAATCTACTTAAACTTTTCGAACAAGTAAGGTAAAAAAGAGAGCTGTATTTAATATATGCAAGCTATCAATATAACTTTAATCTTTATCTAACTACATTAAACTACGTCGTCGTATGACGACAACCTGCTCACCACTCATTGCGCGCGTCTAGCAGCGATTGATGGTATGGTTAAGATGTCTTTTATCAACCAATCTTGGAGCAGCGCATGAATATTATCAAAAGGGGATAATATTCCTTCAATATTATCCATCTCGGATAATATTGGTAGAATATTGTGATACTAGACTATATTCCAATTGACACCGTTTGGTGTCAATTTCATGCAACAGGCAACCCCGTTACACGCAGTGTCCATCGGGACGAGTTGATTAAACATTTGACATACACATAATTGTAAACAACCAGATGTGCATACACGTGATCGCCACCATATGCGCTGAGGGTACCAAAGAGCGGTAATAAAAGTAAATTGACTAAGTAAATCACTACGTGGTCAATGCTTACCTGATACAAAAGTGCAGAATTGGAATGCCTGTTCCACTGGATCATAATCGGTGCCGCTGATGGCGTATCAGTGCGAGCAAGGATCTTCTTAAACGAAGTTGCAGCGGAACTACGAAGACCGACCAAGCGCATCAACATCAAGGCGGATAATTTAACGATAAGCAACCTTATCAATATTGGAAACTTTCATCGATGCCATCGCTCGAAATCGATTTTAACGTTTGGTGGGATCGTAAAAACTTTTAACCAGGCTTTTAAACAATCGAATTACTACTAAAAAAGAACTCACCTTCACCGCAGAGTAAAGTTGCGATCCCCCAAAAATTTTGTTCGTCTATTGGTTCGTCGCTGGGGGCTAACCATTTGTATTTTCAAAAATCCCAAGTGCCATCCCTCGGCAGAAAGGTCAAATTATGCCAGAGGATGAAATTCTGACAGTGTACACATATCAAGAAGAAAACCTTTTAATTTACGTTCTCTTGATCGCTAAAAAACAATGTTGACAGAAAATTAATAGAATCTTGACGATATGAATAGTCAGATAATTATAGATTGCGGGATGTGCGGGACGCCCGGGATGGCACCAGCTCAATGTGCATCCCATCCCAAACATCACAGTGGGAGTGCGTTGCAGCAGATGGAGATCTCAACGGTTTGATTGGACAATAAAATTCGTGGTAAGTGTTGACCGCGTCACACTAGAAACGTTGCATGAAAAGCGGAGCAGCTTCGACAGCGTCGCTGTGGCGATGGAGTCTCTGTATCACTATGACGTCGCTGTCTCTTTGGAAGCTCGTGGAGCTGGTAGTGAGCGCTAGTGGATATTGGGACCGATGTAGCCACACTAGATCCAAAAAGAACCAGATTTTGGCTGGGTTTCCAGGTCTGATAGGCAACACGCCACTCGTGGAACTGACCAGTTTGTCGAGGGCCACAGGCTGTACCATACTTGTGCGTATTGCGGACTGTATAATCATCTGCTGATTTTGTAAGGAGCTTGATTGATGTTGTTGTTTATTTACGAGTACTTGGGCTATCTCTCGGTGTCGCTAGGCGAAGGCCGAATTCTTGAATCCGGGTGGAAGTTCGAAGGATCGTGTGGCAAAGAAAATCGTTGAGGACGGTGAGCGCCGAGGTCTTCTGAAAGAGGGAGGGACGATTGTAGAAGGCACTTCGGGCAGCACAGGCATTAGTTTGTCGCTGATGGCACGAGGTTGGCTTTATTACTCTGCTTGAAGTGGTTGACGATGAGCTTGTTAGTAACGTTGACACACGATGTTTGTGCTTTCAGCACGAGGCTATAGATGCATTGTCGTGATGCCTGATGACCAAGCAAAGGAAAAGAGTCAGTTTTTGTCGCAGTTTGGTGCCGAGGTTGTGCTGGTGAAGCCGGCGTCCATAGTGAATGCCAAGCATTACGTCAATGAAGCCAAGCGTTTGGCACGTAAAACTCAAGGTGGGACTCGCTTTCCGAGAGCCTTACATACAGCGTAAAATAAGTGTGGTTCGGTGATGTTCCAGGAGGATACTTCACTGACCAGTTTGAGAATACAGCTAACTTCGACAGCCACTATTCCACAACCGGACCCGAAATTTGGCGTCAGACGAATGGGACTGTGGATGCCTTTGTGATGGCTGCTGGTAGGTGTTGGTGTTTGACGATGTCTTGGTGAGCATTTATGCATTATTTCGTATGCGTCTTGTGTTATACTTGAAGGCACTGGAGGCACTATCGCGGGCACATCAGTCTACTTGAAGGAGCAAAATCCGGACGTGCAGGTGTTTCTTGCTGACCCGCCGGGCTCCAGTTTGTACAATAAGGTAATTCGCTTACATACCATTTGGCAGTGATATGTGATCTGTCATATTAACTCGTCGGCTCAGGTCCGGAACAACGTGTGTTTTGCTCCTCAGCAGGCTGAGGCCAAAGTGCGTCGCCACCGGTACGAATAATAGCATACTTGTGAGCACCCCTCGCAGCTGATTGACTTGTTCTGGATATCTTTCTCGTACGTACTGCAGGTATGACACAATTGCTGAAGGCGTGGGCATTGATCGCTTGACGAAAAACTTCCTGCTCGCTAAGATCGATGACGCCTTCACGGTGACAGATCAGGAGATGGTTGAGATGTCTCGCTTCCTGCTGCGTGAAGAAGGCATCTTCGTGGGCAGCTCAAGCAGTCTTAATTGCGTGGCAGCAGTTCGCGCCGCTCGCAAACTCGGACCGGGTCGCACCATCGTCACAGTTTTGTGCGACTCGGGTCAACGTCATCTCACCAAGTTCTGGAACGACGAACACATTCGCAAAGAGTGGCAACTCGAGCCAAAGGCTTCGCACCTTGAGTTTTTGGACGGCTCTTCAGGTCAGCCGTAGCTGCAACTTTCGTGGCTGCAGATTCCACACATTTCGTGCCGTTTGTGCATGGGTTCATGCGCATTATCCGGTAGTCGAGGAAAGTAAATCAAGGCGAGTGAGGCAGCAGACACATTTGTCAAGTGCTAGAATGCAAGTCTTGACGATCGTACAGCAAATTTGGCGCGACTTTAGCCTGCGTGAGTAGATGCCGAAGCGCGTCTGGATCTGTTGGTCTGCATGTGACGTAACCACGTTGCTGTCCATTTGTTAGCATACTGTGAAATGGATGCTGTCGGACGCGCTCATATCAAGTGATGTGAGGAGCATAAATTGCACCGGGCACAAGTACAGGTCAAGAAAAAGCTGATTTGCTACATCCGGCGGCCAGCAGAAAACAGTGTGGCTTCAACCTGATGCATGCAGCCGCCATAGAAAATGGCATGAAAGTAGCACAGACTTTGTTGCTCGAGAGCACAAGGTTGCTGCGTTTCGGCAGTGATGAGAAGGCCAACGGTGGGCAGTTGAAGCATGGGAAAACGATACACAACAACGGAACGTCGCACTAATATCAGAGATTGGGCAGAGATGTGCTACAGGAGAGCGATCTCGGGCGTTTGTTACGGAACCTTTTCTAGTGAGGCGGTGGAGCATATGAAGACAGGAAAGAGCAGACCACTCGGGTAGAACGCAAAGTGCCAGGTCGGCTGAGCTTGTGAGCACTTACCCTACTGTAGTCTCAAACAGTAAATATCGTGTCTGCGAAGCCAACACTTTGGTATCTTCTACAACGTTAGGATTGTTCTCTATCTGGAGGAGTTCACCATTGAAAGCCACAACTTCTGCGACGCTTTACTCGAGCTTCAGACGTCGAAGCATCGTTTCACGGCCTAGCAGCTCAATGGTGTCACCCAGTCCCGCACCAACATCCATGCCCGTAAGATAGTAACGAATCGGCATTAGCACCCTGCGCGGACCAACATCAAGCACAGGATAGACGTGAGCCTACAACATAATCCACTTGCAAAGCAACGCACTTTTTCAGCCCGAGTTTCCGACTGTTTGCAACAGCTTTGATGCTCTTTGTGATACAATCCTGCAACAAGTCAACTTGGTCAATCAAAGCGGTGGGCTAATTCTTGCGGATAGACAAAATCGCACCGGTGTAAATTCTTCATCAGAGAGGTTGCGCAGATTCGACCGCACTTCGGCTACAAGATCAGCCGTTGATTCATCGATGTGGGCTGCCTCCATGTGTCTTGCCACGGAGGAACTAAGGTCAGGATCCATAAAGAATGGGGCGCACAGGGGACCGAACTCAGGAAGTGCGCTCACTCGTTCCTGGTAAAAGTGAAACGAACAAAAAACATTAAGGACAGCTAAACTCGTACAACTTGCACCATGACCTGTTTTGTGTTGTGACTCACCTTCATCAGATCCATCGCTCGCCATACGTAGTCAACACCAAATCGGCCGACGATATCGCTTGGAGAGAAGGGCAAGCCTGCTTCTTTGAGCGTGGAAGCAATAATCGGCGAGACATCGTTCACAACAGCCATTTTGTGCTCGTCCGTTGCTAGCTCCTCCGCAAACAGAGCTCTCACATGACGAGAGTTAATTCAACGAAGACGATCCACATTCACAACCGAGCCTGCTTTATTCACGTGCTTGATCGAGAACTAGTTCATCAAGCAATTGCATTGCAACACATTTACAAAGGCCATTCAAACGACAGAAGAACATAGCTCATCGTACATGTTTTTCCAGCTCTTTCATTTGGAATATTTCCTGATTGTTTCCATCAGCAGGATTCCAGCCTAATAGAGCAACAAAGTTCACGAGACCACTTGGTAGGAAACCCTTGTCCTGTACACACAAGAGTTCATCGAGAGTCAATAGGGTAGTCTCGTTGCGAAAGAGCTACGACGGAAAAAGCTTACTCGGAAGGCTTCGACAGCTACATCCCCCTGACGCTTGGACAGCTTAGAGCGGTCCCCATTCAGTAGAAGGCCTAAATGTGCCCACTTAAGAGAGGTTTCATAAAATTGTTAGTGGACACACGGCGGAAGCCTGACATGCTACTTACAGCAGGAGCCTCGTAGCCCAATGCCTTGTACAAAATGACATGCTTTGGTGTCGACGGAAGCCATTCCTCGCCACGAATAACGTGGGTGATGCGCATGGCGTGATCATCCACAACATTGGCTAGGTGATACGTTGGATAGCCATCGCTCTTCATCAAGACCTGATCATCGATGCCAGCATGTACGAACTGAATGTATCCACGCAACAAGTCTTTAACGGTTGTCTTGCCCGGTGGAATCCGCAGTCGAATAGTGTGCGGCTCGCCGTGTGATACTCGTTCCGCCACCTCCTTCTCATTCAGACCAAGACACGCTCGGTCGTACATCGTCGCTTCACCATGACAAATCTGCGACTCTCGCAGCTTCTTTAGGCGTTCACTAGTGCAAAAGCAACGGTAGGCATGTCCACTCTACACCAAAAAGTGAAGTCAGTTACACACGACGTACGAAAAAGTGGTCAAATGAAAATCCTGGTCACCTCAATCAGCCTCTCAGCTGCCTCCTTGTAGATCGGCAGTCTCTGTGACTGGATGTACGGACCGTACGGACCTCCAACGATAGGGCCTACAGTATTAACGACCCACACCCGTCACCGTCATCAACTCTCCACACATTACAATCGGACCGAGAGTATCATCAGCTGCTGCATGTACCCTCATCCTCCATGACGCCACACCACTTGAGACTGTCCACGAGCGCTTCCATTGATCCTTCGACCTGCCGCGTCTACACCAATATGAAAAACAGCTAGAAATTTATACAGACCGACTATGTAGAATCACAGTAACTCCGCATACTTTATCCGTGTCTTCAATGCGCAGGATGAACTGCCCGCCGCAGCTCTTGGCAAATAAATAGTTAAACAGCGCCGTGCGTAAACCGCCGAGGTGCAGAAAGCCAGTGGGACTTGGAGCGTAACGCACGCGCACTTCAGCATCAGTCACTTTCGGAACATTGGAAGGAAGCGAGAAGCTCCTGGACGTGAGGGTTGGGGGCCGGCACAAGGCGAGGCGGCGCAGACGCGAGAGCATCAGGACGAACCGTGTCAAAGTATGTGCATCAGCGTTTTTCGATCCGCCCGGCTCTGTTCGTAACCGGCACGGGCAAAAGTGTCACTACAACGGTTAGGGCTGGGTCATTTACGCAACATAATAAGTGCGTCCCGAGCGATTGTAAAAAAGCACGTTTTAGCGCAAGCAATTGGAGAAATTAATTCTTGTAAAAAGTAGAAACATGCAGAAACGATTGACAAACCCGTGGTCGAACGAAGTTCCATTGGATGTGCGTCGACTTGCTTTCTTTAAAATGAAAAACACCAGGACTTTACATGCGTGACATACGTCATTATATTTCAGCACATTTCGGTATACGGTGCTCTATATTGGAGGTGACGCTGCCAACGCACAGGTCACTATTTATCGAAGACTCTAACATTCAGTCGTTTGGCTATCGTCAGCCCGTGATCTGCAAAGTCCGTTGCCGGTAATGTTAGTGTGCTGGAGATCCAGCATATCGTGTCACGTGGTCATCCTCGTGCATTTCATTCATAAATCGACAAGTGGCTGAGTGTTGAGTCCCTAACGCTTCGATTCAAACCACGAAGCCGACAAACCCAATCAAGTGGATGTTGCTCTTTATTAACCCAGAGCTACACTGCAGTTTCTAGCCTGCATGCAGCCATCTCAACATCACTAACGCGTGAGCTGCATGTTGAAGGTCTGCGAAAATGGGACGTGCACTATCTCCAGGTCCGACGGATGATTTGCTGCTAAGTATCGTCGTCGACTATTTCCAAAAGTCGAGTGCGTATCCGATGTGCGAAGACAGCCAGGTGTCGCCATAACTTTAGGCAAACGATTGGGACGTTTCTGGTATCGTAGCTGGTAGCCGCCGCACCAAAGATTTCCTAATCAGCTATTGCTTTGACCACGTGAGAACAGCACAAGTGACACTCTGAGTTCAAGTTGGACAAATGCCGTTGAAGAGCGCTTTACACGGCAACTCTGTTGGTGCTGGCGAAGCGACGTGCGACCCATCGCGAGGCGTTGTCGGGCTCGAGTCCATGACGTTGGAGGACTGTCGTCTGATGAACCCATGGGCAGCATTGCCTACCGCAACTTGTTTCGCTTATAGCACAAGTACTTCGACACGATTACGCTCATTTAGGAAAATTGTCAACGTAAGTTGGAGCCTTCACGTACAGTGTCGTTCTCCTGATTGAGACTATGGGCTGAAACACGACCTCGCCAAGCGAACGTCGCACAATGAAGTACTTCGACATCGAGGCCATCCACATCGTCGACACTAGTTTTGATGCTGGAATTGGAGTACCAACGAGATCAGCATCTCCTCCTCAGACCCGTCATGTAGGCGATCTAGAGTGTTGCCGTATGAGTGCTTTATCGACGCGAGATAACATTTACGGCGCCGATTCAGTCGGCCAGCAAATTGCGACTTTGACATCCCTGCTGGTAATGTCGCCCCGTCCTGAAGTTGAGCGGATATCCACTGACGCAGCCGTAAGTCAACGCGATGGAGCACATTTTGCTGCGTTGAAAGGCGATCACAGAGCTACAAATTGTACGAAGTGTCAGCCAAATGGTCAGCTTGAGCGCTAGTAAAGACTCACCTGCTGAGCTGACCCCCTTTGCACCTCCATCTGCAGTAGGTGACGTCTTTTAAGTTCGTGGTCTGCCCGCTCGATCAAGGCGTTCATGACATCTCCAATTCCAGAGCCGTCGCCCACTTCTTTCACCTCGTTCGTGTTCACCTCCCATGGATTTTGACGGCCATTCGGTGCCTCGAAAACTGCCACCATCCGCTCAAATACCTCGTCAGCAATTTGTGCGCCAGCATCACCAGTCTTGGCTCGACCAGCATTCCGCGCACGGCAATTTGCCACCGCAACGTTCATGTACAAAACACCAAAGCCGCAGTGCACTACGTGTCACCAGTGACATGTCAGTAACAGTATAGCTACTAGATCCGGTGCACAGGGAAGGCCGTACGCTCAGTGGCGAGATGGAAATAGCGCTTGCGCTGGCTTCGATATGAAAAGTTGTCGTCAACGAGCAGCACGAGCTGGATCCTCGACTCGCCTCTTGCAGCCGATGCGTTCTCGGTCAAACGATTGCGTACTCGCAGCACCATTTCGTGTTGACTCGCTTTCCATATGTCAGGATTAAATTCGGCCGGGTTGCTGATCCCGTCATCGATCGCTCGTTGCTCGTACAGGTCGTCGAGGGATAGTCGTTCATACAACCTCGATGAGGTATTGCCACTTGCCACTAGCTGCTTCACTAGTGTCGTCTTCCCAGCAGCTGGTAGGCCACACACCAGCACAAGAACCGCATCGCATAAACTGCCGCACATGTGTCCACAGGAAGTAAAATTTGCGACTAAACCAGGTTTGAACCTAGAAGGGCACCCCACTGACATAATAGAGCTTTTCCTGCATCTCAGTGGCACACCCACACAATCTTCACCTCTCCACGTCCTTATGCGTGTTAGTATAGCAACATCACATTGAGATAAGGACTCGCGCCTCGTTCAGAAGTGATCGCAGATAGCTACCTCAGTGGTTGACAGTCCATCAAGTGTGCCAAGAGGCAATGACGCTTGGTTAAAAGCTGCTCGCTCATCCGCTTCTTCTTCTACTCATCTTCCCCCATCACTATCTACGTCACAATAACCAAAGTCAATCCAAGAGCGCTCGTCACAGCCGCTTTGAATGGCGTTGACTAATCCATCCGTCTCTTCTCAGCACTTGGAGCTCGTAAACGCCGTCGAGTCTGCTGCTCCTGCTACACATCAAGAAATGAACGTCACCATCAAAGTGCCCAACAGCGACCACGATACACTCACCATTTGCTTTTTTACAATCAAAGCGTCGACGCGAGACTGAAGCCGCTGCAGCTCACGCTGTTGAGCACGATGCAGTAGCCAATTCCGCCACCCCTGAGGCACATCCACCAGCAACAAGCGCAGCACAGAGACCAGAAGCGGCAGCAGGACGCTCAGCAAAGCGCACAGAAAGCCAATGAACGCCACGACGTCGAGCGTCAGCACATACAGCCCCGCCATCTCGCGAGCCTCAACGAACTGTTTTCAGCCAATCGCAATAGTACAAGATTCGGATTAAGGCCTACTTGGCTATTATCTCATCGGTACCTGCCTCGTCAAGTGTTCGGATTGCTTCTCTATGAGATTGCTATAATATGAGCACGTACTACCGTGTCGCAAAATTACCAAGCAGGCGTCTCAGTAGACAGTCTCACAACAACGTCGGGGTTGCTTCCACCCCAGCCTGGTGATAACCCCCCTGGAAAGTTGGCGGAAGGTCGATACTGGCGCCTAAATCCAGCAACATCTGCTCCAGTCGAGCCACGATCACGTCGAACGAAGGGCGCTCAGCCGCGTCCGACTTCCAGCATTCAGTAATGAGATCGATGTACTCGCTGTCCATGCCCTCCGGAATCGGAGGCCGGATGCCGGCGTTGATTGTCTTGTTGTAGAACTTGATCGGGGCCATTCCGATGAACGGGTTCTGCAATCCGCCGGCGATCATTTCCCACATCACAATGGCAAGACTGCACAGGATAATTAGATCACAACGCCAACCAACTACTAAATATGTCATGGATGTAAAGGAGCTTAGCAAACCTCCAGTTGTCGGCCTTAAATGTGTACCCCAAATCTTCGTCCAACAGAACTTCGGGAGCAACCCTGATGAACATGAAAAATAAACGACAAGGTCAGTCTTCCCACGAAACAGATGCCCTCGATCGACAAGCTCAAGCACGCAACTACCATCCAGTTGTACCACATTGCGTAAATGCAGTGTCCGTATCGAGCACCTTGCTAATACCGAAGTCGGCCACTTTGACTCGCCAGTCATCGTCCACCAAGAAGTTGTGAGACTGCAAAGCGCACGTCCGTCAGCAAGCAATGTGTATAACAGCAAGTAATACGAAACTCACCTTGATATCGCGGTGAATAATACGCATGGAGTGCAGATATTGTATTCCTCGTGCTGCATCGAGCATCATTCGTACTTTGAACTGTGGAAACGAAACAGCAAGAAGTGTTAGAAATCTCGCCAAATTAACAGTTTGAGAGTACGCACCTTCCAAGGAATCGTCTCGAAATTGTTGCTGTGAATCACTTCGAACAAGCTGGACAGAACAAGCATGACGTGCATTTCTTCAGCATGTGCGCAAGTAACAACGCACTGAAAGCAGCAATCTGCATACCTTTTGCGAGAGCAATACTCCGTCAAAATCATCAGCTTTGGATCCGTGCATGCTCCGATGAATAAGACAATGTTTGGGTGCTTCAATTTTCGGAGCAATGCCACTTCTCTTCTGTAATCGCCAAGAATCTTATCGGTCAATCGAGCGTACCGGAAAGATTTCACAGCTACTTCAGCAGCACTATTTTGATTCATCCAGAGCCCACGGTACACGGTAGCCGCCCTCCCGCAACCCAATTCATTCTCCTTGCCGCTGAGTATGTGAATACTTTCATACGGAATCTCCAAATACTGATTCTGTGACTCGAGAACTCGCGCCTGCTCCTGCAATGTAGATACATCTTCTTCTGCTAACTTCTCTGAAATTGATCCCGTCAAGGAGGCAGACGAATCCGCGCGATGGACAGCCTGGTGTCGACTGATTGGAAACGAAGAATCAGAGTCCTCCCTGTCGTGGGTAGCAGTGTCGTCGACAACACCTGGATTACGCGCGACAGGCTTGAGGTTCTCACCAGCCTTCCGTCTGATTAAATAATGAGTGACGGATAGTATCTTCCTCAACTCTGCCTCTCGTGCTTCAACTCCTCGCTGAACCTCGTGTCGTCGTTCAGCTGAAAGACTTACTGCTGCAGCACCCGAGTTGATCTATGTCGCAAAAGGTGTGCACATTAACGACATGAGTGAAGGACACAATGTGCTATATCCTTGGTGTCAGACTGTACCTGCTCGAAAAGCTTTGCTAAAACAGAATTTTCACCGTTATCCTTGTCGTCAACGTGAATTTTGTCGCCATGGGCGAGCCCGATGTCTTTTCGAATACTAGCGGTGTCGTTCTCCAGCATGAGTGCCGTCGATAGTTGTGAGTCTGCACAAAGGCGTGTTAGCTCTCGGTTTCGAATATCAATAGAGCTGCGATCGTATCATTTGTAGACACGAACCTTTTGCAAGGTCCTCTGTCTGCCGAATCCACACAATACGCTGGCGATCCTTCGGAATGCCAATGTTTGAAGCGATCTCCTGTCGAAGTACACCCACTGTAGCATCTAATGGTATTTCTAAGCATACCGGCGCTTGGGTATCGCCAGTCGCTTGAATACAAACCTAAGAGCAAGGAAAAAAGGGAAAATGAGGAAAACCGCGATACCGACTAAAGCCTCAGCGTCAAAACAGACACACGTACAACTCGAAGCAGCATAGAATCATTATCCACTGCGCGTCTGATGCGCTCTCGAATAGCTTCTTCAGACATCTCCGACAAAGCACTGGCAAAGAAATGTACCTACAATGACCGCAACAAATCCGTGAGCTTCGTATCACGTTTTGCTGCCTAGTGGTAACAACGTACATGGTGGGGAAACACACGATAAATGTCGCTACCGTGGACATGAGCAGTAACGGCGCGCTGAAGTTTGGAGCTAGATGCGAACGAATCTCGGCGCTGAGGCGATCGCTCTCCGTTCGAGCCTGGACCAAACCACAACTCGCTTTCATCATCCGAAGTTCCCCCGCTCCAACCGCTGTCCACGCCTTGCCATGTGACTAGCACGTATTTTGATACAATCCGCTCAGTTCCGCGATGCAATGGAACATCTACTCGTAAGTAAATGTACATCGTGCTTCCTTCCTCAAGCACCGACGTGATTCCACCAATCCCTTTCAGCGCGTACAACCCATTCTGTTGTACAACAGAACGAGACAAAGTCGATCAGCGCTATAAATCGACGGTAATGTTATATAAAAACGTACCATGCCCCTTTCAACGACAATCATTCGCTGAGTTGAGCTCTCTACATCCGAGTTGTCATAGCCGCACACAGCCCAATTAAATGGTGAGATATCCGACCGAATATCTTGCACAGTGTCCGTCACTTCCGGAGTGAACTCAATATCGTTTGTAACAAAACGCCTTGATGAACTTCGTGGTCGTCGTCGTGGGGTTTGCATGAACACCGTACCGTCCCTGTCGAAAATGAAAACGGTTTGTTATAGATCCGAGAATATGTAAACACATACATGCCGTAGGAAAAACTCGTACATAAGCTCTTCTGGGTTGTGCAGCGTGACGTGTGCAACTGCACCCATGTGTTTCTGCCATCAAAATTGCACGAGTCAGCACCCATCATTCATACAATCCTTTAGGCACCAATCCGAGTACTCGCTCACCCGAATAACGTAGTTAAATTCTGCATACTTTGTTCGAAGATAAATCGGCAGATCCCTTCCTTTCCAACAGAAGGACAGTACGTTGGTAGGTGCCGAGTTCTCGTCATAGCAATCGACGCTCGTTAGTCCGTAGCACAGCGACTTGGACGAGAAAAGCTCTGGGGGCCATTTGGAAGAGTCCGAGATGGTCCCTTGTCCTGACGCAAGCACTCGAAGTGTGTTTCGCTTCTCTCGCTGATCCTATTGTGGTCAATAAGGCAGCAAACGTGTCAGAAACCACGCAGAGCACCGACAGCCAACCACAAAAGCACCGGAGCAACCAACCGCAAAGGAGAAGATGACCCACGTGGGTGAGTTTTTGCTTTTAATGCTGTGCAGCACGCTGTCCACTTGGCCAAATCGCAAGTCTTGCGCCTTGACGGTGCGCACAAACGTGTGCGGCACCTCCATGCCCTTGCGCTTTGTGTGGGAAAAGCACAGAATCTTGAAGCTCTTGTGTGCGTAAGCTGCAGTAGCCTACGACCTTCTTGTAAGTAGCGCTGGATTTCTCTTCTTGACTGAGTCTACGGGATCTGCCACAGCAGCAGCGAAAAGCGGATGAACGGGTGAGCAATCGCTATAGCATGTGGCTAGATCTTTATATTGGGCCTCACGTTACCTAGTAATGCGTCAAACGTGTTGCGAAACCTAG